ATTATTATTATTATTATTATTATTATTATTATTATTATTATTATTATTATTATTATTATTATTATTATTAAATATTATTATTATAAATATTATTATTACATTTTTTCCACTATATTTTATTTCCTCATTTGTTTCCAAATTAATAAGATTATGTCGATTATTCCAAAATGAAATAATGGCAGTTAAATAACCGATACAAAATATTATCCATGAAACGAGTTGAATTCTATGAAATGTTATGGCCATTGTGATTTGATCAATATCCGCAAAGTAACCCGTAAAATAAGCAAGTGGTATAAATGTTCCAATTGGTAATAACATGAGAATAATACAAATTAAATCTATACGTAAAAATGATATTGATTTTATTGAAGATGACGAAATTGTTGTTGTCGTTGTTGTTGATTCAAATTCAAGAGCTGAATATACTAATTATTATAGTGAGAATAATAATTTAGAGAGAGAATGATTGAAGAAATAATTAAAAGAGAAGAATAATCAGATTGAATTAGAAAAAGAACTTACAGATGCATAAAAGATATAATATCGAAAAAGAGATACTAAGAGTTCTTGGTAACGCTTGACCAACTTTTTTGAAAGAAAAAATATATATAAATAATAATTTGAATTTTTGTAAAGAACATAATTGAATAGAAAACATACTTTCTGCCCAATAAACAGTCGGATAATAATCATAAATTAAACAAATAGAATGAATTACTTGTACTAAATAAAATAAAAATATTAGAATTTGAATAATTTGTTTTCATCAAAAATATAGATAGATATTTACAAATATTTACCTGAACAATAAATTAAGACTGTAACATAAAAAGTATGTTGGGGTCTTGTCCTTAAAAATCCACAATTTATTCTTGAATTGGAATTCACTCGGGGGTTGAAAAAAAATGATTCTTTCTTGATATACATTAAATGATAAAGACATATTATTGACGTTAAACATAACATTAAACAATAAGGAACTAAAATCCAATATGCTATTGTTAACATTTCTGTTTCAGGGCACTCATGAATATTGACACGAAAATCACAAATACACGAAGAAATATCCCATATAAATTTACTATTTGAAATAGTATCTTTACATATAAGTGTATATCTACTCAATAATTGAACCATTTTTTTTTTTTTTGAAAAAAAAATTTTTTTCCGAGAAGATAATTAAAATTCAATAGGTAAACAGGAAAGCGTTTTCTACATTTTTTCCATTTTCGAATCCTGCGCGCAAAAAAATATTTAATTGATACGTTCGTACCAAACGTGATTTTATTACTATTACTATTATTATTATTAGTACAACAAAAATATGATTACAAATAAAATAATAGAAAATAAAATAAAAATAAATAAAAATTATAAATAAAATAAAAAAAAAAAGACGCCTTTGACACCATTTAAACGTTTATATTATCAAAAATTTCCTTTGTTTTCTCAAACGCAAAATTCTGTACCTGCAAATTATTACATTTGAACCAATCATTCTTCACTGAATTACTATAAATAATTTTATAGAGTGCATCATTGTAGTTCAATTTAGTGCAAGTGCACAATATATTTATCTCATGGTGACGTTTAAAGTAACCATATATATTATATTATCAATTGTGTAACTAAAATATATGTATTATTTAAATTCTCACGGATCACATGATATTAATATATATACAGTGCAGGGACGATGATTTTATGTCACAAAATTTATTGCTTTCATATAATTTATTTTTTTCATATCACATAAATTCACAATTTATTTGTTTTCTATCACATAAATTCACAATTTTTACTAAAATATATTACAAATTACCTATATTTATCTCACATACAAAATTTATTTTATAGTATCACAAAAAATCATTATCTCTAATATAGTGGATGTCAGTTAAATCATCATCTCTAATATAGCAGATGTCAGTTAAAATCATCAACCCCTCAAGATGATGGCCAATTTTACAGGTAATAAAAATAATGACGTAAGCACAAAAACAGCCAATTATATTTTAGAGATCTCAGAAAAAAAATGTTAAAAATTTTTTTATTCAATTTAATAAATGTTAACTTGATTTATTATATCTTCATTAATTCTTCTATGTAATTTATTATTTTTTACAACATATTCTGCTGCTTTTCCTATTAATTAATACCCGTATGCATCCATCTAATGCCAAGATAATCATGCATAAGAACAAATTGTTTAAATAGAAACAGATTCAAATGTTAAAGATAAATTTTTTTTTAGTGACTACAATATATATTCACAATTATTTTGAGTACATCTTTTGACTGCACTCCAGTATAATTCAATATAATAAATTCTGGATGAAACTTTGAATAGAAGATAACCTAAATTATATTGAATTTTTTTAATTAAAAAAATAAAATAAAATTTAATAAATAATTAAAAATTATGAGATTCAATTTCTTGTTGAATTATCCTTTTTGTGCAAGAAAATCTTATTTATTAGCAAGTAACCAACAAGTACAACAATCAATAATATTGGAATCTGATATTTTTTTTAAACAAACTTAACAATTTAATATCATATTATTTTTCTATAAATTTCTTTCTTTCAAAATTTATTCTATACCTTTAGACTTTCTATGTAAATTAAATTTATTGTCTTGTTTTTAAGTCAATAATAAAAAAATCATTTTCTATTATAATTGATTATCTTTATCCATTCCAAAACATATCACATATAATTGGTTGTGCACCTTCTGGTTCTTTATTCATTTTACTTGTTACCAAAACATCAGTTACAAAGGTAATATGTGAAATGATATTATCAAATACTCATATTCTAATACAATTTAGATGTGTCTATTTAAAAATATTAATTGTACAATATAATTATATAACTAATTTTTCTTTATCACAATTTGCACCTAATATTATAGTAACTCTTACTATTTTGTGTTCACCTTTTAGTAGACCAATTGTTTTTGTTAAAAAATCTAAAACATAAATACCTTATTCCTGACCTTTTTTTTTGTAATTGATATTCTCCTTCTGGTCTCTATACTGTATGAGGTCCATCATAAGAATAAAATGTAGATTCATTATGTGTGATCTAAACATGTTCTTTTTCTCCAGAATTTAATTGAAGATATATTCTTATTTTGTATTTTTTATCTAATCATTAGGACATAAATTGTTCATAATATTGAACTATTTTCAAAAACTTTTCATGATATACTATCACATCTTGACAATTATAGTCATCAATATAAGTTTCTTTTTAATAACGAATATGTTAAAAACTTATTTTATGCATCTATCTATATGCTGCACTAATTGAAATTGTATGTTATTTTTTAACATTTAATTTGAAAAATATTTTTTCTTCAAAATATTATTTTACTATTAAAAGATTCATTTGAAATTTATTGGTTCAAAGATAAGAAGAAATATAGAGTAAAATAAGTTCATCATTAAGTAAGTTTCATAGTGAAAATTTTCTTTTATTAATTAGAATATGTTTACTTATTTCAAATAAATTATTAAATTAATTTTAAACTTATAATAATTTTTTTTATTAATTTAAAATTGAAATTATTAATAAACTAATTACTTTCTAAATATATTTTGTTCATTTTTAAATATAATATTATTATTGGTAGTTAGCGGTTTTCTTGAGGACAAACTAGTAAAGTGACTTAACAGTTCTTTTAAGAAGTTTATAATTCTTTCTCAAAGGTAAGACTGTTGTTTGGTTGTTTTAGAAAGTATCACTAATTCAATTATTTTAAAAAGGGAATCAGATCTTTTATTCAATTTATTTCAATATCTTTTCAAGTTCATTATCATCTTTTAGTATTAATATTAATTCATTAATTGTTTTCCAATTTAATTATCATTGAGTATTACTTCCATTTATTCAGATTAAATATTATTTCAAGTTCAAGGTTTATAATAATAGTTTGTAATTAATTTCATTACACAGATTAAAATTCGAATATTAAATATCTATCAGTACTTATTGACCTTTCGATATTTTCAAATATCAGGTGATTATCAAAAAATTATCAGGTGCATGAAATATTTTTATATATATCGGAAACCTAATATTTATATTTTTTTTTAAGGGCCCAATAGTACTTTTGTAAATTTTTAATATACCTGATAGCTATGCAATAAATTTTATTTTAATCTCAGGCACCTAATATTTTATTAATATCAGAAGCAGGATACCTGATGTTATAGTAATATCATGAATCTAATATTTTTAAAGTATATATTGGAAACAATATTCTTTTTCTTATTGGGTACACAAGAAAATTTTTTATTTTAAATTTTGTATAATCTATCAGATTCCTGATACTATATTTTAATTAAACTTAATTTGTTTTTTTTACAGTATACACTTAAAATTCAAGTTTTCTACTTGAAGTTGTTTTTATTATAATATAAAAAAAAGAATAAATTAAATATTAAATCTTCTATTCAATGGAATTATTGATATATAATTATTCTTACACTGGTCGAAAATTGATAAAACATACACATATCGGGTACCCGATATGTGTATGTTTTATTAATTTTCAACCAGTGTTATTTCCAATTCGATAATCTATCTTAATGGCTCAACTATATATTCTATGTACTACAATAATTGAATCTTAACTATATATGTTCCCAAAATTGATTTTAGATTTTTGAGATATTTCGACTTTTTAAGATTTATGCAGAATCTATTTTATATATAGAAGTAAAAAAAGTATCCAGTTATATGTATTTTTAATTAAAGAATAAATCTGGGTAGTCAAATAATTTTGGATTTTAAGTAAAATAATTTTGTGTTCTATAAAAAACTATTTTGACTTTTTTTTCCTAAAATTACAATTTTGAGGTTCCAAAATAATTTTGCAACAAGTATAATCTTGACCTTCCTTATAATATTCTTCTTTTTATAATTCTGTATTTAATACTTCAGATACTATAAACTTATACCTAAATCATATATTAGAGGAAGGTATATTTTTATACCATTTGACATATACTAGAAAATGTGTTTTAGGTTCTTTCATTGGAAGTATAAGTGTATGCTCAAAGTAATATTGTATCTCTCCAGAATAAATATCACTTGTATCATCTTTAAATATATTTTACTTCACTAAGATTACTAATTATTTTCATATTAACTTGTGACTTTGGATCCAAATATTTTATTACTTATTTTTAATCTTGCATGTTGGTTTATAGTTACTTCCATACATACTTTCACATCTTTTCTTTCTTTGTTATATAATGTTGTATACCATTCATATAATATTTTATAGAGTTTCAATAAAATACTTATCTTTTTATATAAAGATACTAACATTTGTTCTGATATATTTTCAGTACCATAGATCTTATTAAATGTATTATATTTCAAGGGGATAAAATACTGTAACTCTTCTTTATCAAATTCATTAGTTACAACTAAACTGCCAGTAGCTTTTTTCAGTATAAGAAATTGAAGAGATTTTTCCAAAAGATCAAATATTTATTGATAAGAAAGATGATAATTTATAAGTGAATTTTTGAGAACTATTTTCATAAGTTTGAGTTCAATTTACTAATTACTATTGGAATAAGAACTTATGAAAGATTTGTGTTAAAATTTTATTTACTATAATTCATATATTCGATATCTATAGCTTACCTATATATCTATTTAATCACTCATATGGAAATAGCTAAAAGTTATAAATGGAATCATAATCTTATATATATTCAAGAATATGTATCAATAAATAGATATTACTTGTAATAAATTCAGGTCCATAGGTTCTGTCTATATTTATAAACATATCCCTTAATTATTCTTATACTTCTTGCAGATCATCTTCTCTGGTAACCAATAAGTTACATACCTGAACAAAATGTCCTAAAATTTTTCTATCATTATTATCTAATATGTTCCATAGAATTATTATTACATATATCATAATGAAAATTTTTCATTGATCAATAGTGAGCTTTAAAAATCTTTCTCTAATAACAACTTTTAGTAGGATTTAATCAATATTGGATGGAAGTTAAATACTATTCATTTTCTTTTGTGCTATATGAAGTTGCTCAAAATTTAATTTATTTTCTTTAACAAATATAGATTGAATTATCTATTTGGTGACTC